CATGTGGATTTGCCACCTAGTGGTTGAATTCACAACCCACTAAATAGGACACCTGGGATGTATGGTCTGTTCCCAGTGGTCTGTTGTAGTTAGGCTTTACTTTTTACTGGGTTAAATTGAGATATGTTCTCGTTGACAGAGTGTGAACATGTTCCTTAGTGACAATGAAAAACAAGTGGAAATGTAAAACATTCAAGTGTAACTTCACTGTCTCCTCAGACAGTTTGTGCCTGTGCCGCTCTTCTTTCACAAGTCAGCAAACACAAAGGAAAAAGTTAAACAAGTAAAAGAAAACAGCCCCGTGGAAGTTTGCAATCAGATAGCACAAACGGGATAATCTCTGTCCCAATGCCATCCGGAAATCTTGCCTTTGATTCTCCGGCTCGCAGGGAGCAAATGGCTTACAGAGATTGCACCATAAATCCGTCTGATCATCAGCTCAGCGGGGCCTTGTCTTCAGGACTGAGGAGACAGAGGGTGCAGACACGGTGCTTCGGAGAATCCACTTTCCTTGAATCCAACCCCCCGTAGCGGTAACAAGACCCATCTCTTACTGTAAATAATAAAAAGATGCTGTAATGTTGGCACACTGTGGATTCCTCGGGCAGGTTGGAAGCCAAAGCAAGTTTTCTGATGAGAGACAAAGACAACTACAGAGAGACGGAAGTGGATCAGAGCGTATGTGCTTGGGAGGGGTTCTGAAAGAATCTGTGTGACGGTCTCTCTATATTTGCTTGTATTTTATCATAAAATGGCCGTATTTCAATGGCCATGAAGACGAAACCTCCAGTGGGTTTATAGTTTATCAGGCCTTTATGTAAACGTATCCTGAAATCCCACATGCACTGTTTGTTTTATGGCCCATCTACAGATTTGCCCTCTAACAATTGTCTATTGTTTTGTATTGTATACGGATGGGGTGTGCATAATATCAACATTTTGTCTCATATTGGCCAGATTTGGAGATATTCCAGGTGAGACTGGATCTGAGGACATTGGGGAGGAGACTATATTCAGAGATGAGGGTGCCCTCGGTCTTTGTCACATGTCCTGTACGTTGTTAGCCTCAGACGAACCCACTGGGTGATAGGATTCTTCAATAGAAGGAAGGCTTCGATGTTGTTATGGCGCTGACATTTTTCTGGTCAGTAAGTCTGGACACCAATCATGTAATTCACTATGCTCTACGTGTCTGTCCCCTCATTTAAGTTGTTACCATAAATGGACCCATTGCACTGGTCTCTGTTGAGCTTTCCGGACTGATCTGAAGCATCTGCACAAGTGTGCTCTTCCAGAAGGCCCTGCTCTCAGCCAACGCTGCACAACCCTCAGCGTCACCCTCAGTCCGCTTTGTCTTTGAGGTTTGATGAAGTTTTGGTTTTCCTGGTGGGATGAGGTTACTTCAGCTCCTCGGACACAGGAAAGCTGTCAGGGAGAGGGGGGGCTGGGAATTAAGCCCAACGGCTTCCTGCGCCCAGTGAGTCAAGTGGTGATCAATACACTGGGCAGGATGCTGCTGCTCCACTATTTAATCCCTGCTCTCAGGCCATCCGGACTGCAGCAATCCCTCAATGGAGCGCATTACTTGCCGGGTGCTCCCGGTGATATTGCAGTCTGGGAAACGATTACTTCGCAATTAGGGCTAATGTTTGCTTTATTAGTGCTTTCTTTGGACAAAACATTCTGGGGAGATAATGTGTCGCAATTAGGAAGTGCACATGCTTTTAAATCTAAACAGACACTACGGAGAGATGTTGCATTAAATTAGGGAGCACGTTTACCACTTTATGTTGCTTTAAAGATTGTCGTGTGCGAGTGTGACACAACAGGCTTTCAGTTAGTTTCATTCATTTAGTTTTTTGGGTGCTGCACAGACTAAGGCAACCAGATTTGGGTCATTTATCATTATATTTATCTTCATGTAACCACATTTATAGAGATGGATATTTACTTTTGGTAGAGACAGAAAGTGACAAAAAGGAGTAAC